GGTGTTGATGTGGCTTATATAATATCCCCCCTTTCTCCCTACTCATATCAGTCTAGATGTAGAACGAAATACTGACTTACACAGATAAGATTAACGAATATTATATTCATTACTAGCTGTTCCCATGCGACTTCATCCGCATAAATTTATGAAAATTTTATTGTTTACATGTGTCAAATTATCAATTGCAAAGGTCAAAATAACATGCTATGAGAAACCATGGCAACCTTGCTTTCTTGATGTTGGCAGCAACTTATGGTCTCTTTCAAACAATAGGGTTTTTATCCAAAATATTTAGCCCCTAAGATTAATAGCATGAAAATGTATAGCCTAAAGCGTGACGTAAGTGTAGGGCTTTTTATTACAAAAAGAACTATTCAAAAACATGATGTAATTGCTGACATCTTAGGCTACAAAGAAGTGTGTGTTTACGCTTTATTATAATAGTATAGATTAGTGTTCGTGACGTCATATTCTTATTAACCCTTCTTGTATATGTTATTCTTCTTTCTGTCCTACTCTTGTCAGTTGTAGCATGATGTTAAAACAGTCGTTACATTCTTTAATAATCAGACTGTCAAATATAAAAAGAGTTATTCTAAAGCTTTTGTTACCTTCTGAGATTAATGTAAACAAAATATCTAAGCTATTATGCGCTTGTAACTTCGTCAGCATGTCGCGTTGTTATTTCTATACGTTTTGTTACATTTTGTCTATTCTAGTAAATAATCGAAAAATTGTTTAGTGGGACAGTCCGCAGACCTTACTACAGTTTTGAATGTAAAATTCAACTGTTCGGTTAAAATTAACGGTGTTTAAATGAGATTTAAAAATATTGACAGAAAAAGTACGTTTTTGTATTATTTTTGCAGTAGCAACTAATGGTGAGATTCTAATAAAACTTGAACATCTTTAGCTGGTATTGTTGATGAAAATTGTACAATATAATCAAATGATATCATAGTTTTTCGAGTTGCTTGACGCATTTCGTTTTTTAATCAAAGTAAAGTTTTTCTTTACGTCACAGATAAAACAAATGGAATATATTCTTCGCGGAATAGCACCTAAGTTTCTAATTTAAATATCAAGGTCAGTGTGCACGTAAAATTATCTTGTATTAGAGATTTTAAGAACATATACTTACGACATTAGCATTCAGTATTGAACTATTTTTGCATATACATAGTTTTTTTATTTATTTGGCAAATAATTGTATCGTTGTGGTGATCCGCGGTGTTCCACTTATAGAAGAATATCTCAGAACAAAAATCCGCTTCTTCTTACAAGTAAACAATTACCTAGCAATTAGGTGTGCAAGTAATGGGAAAATAATAAAAATCAATAAGCCATGTACCTCTAACCGATTTTTTTCCGTACTTTTGCGTATCAAGTAGAACACCGCCAAATTCATTGATAGTACTTTAATAAACATGATCTTTCATTTGAATACATAGATGGCGCTGATCACACATTAGCCTCACTTACCCAGTTTTATAAAAAGTACTTATATACTTGGTTGTGTAATACAGCCTTCTACTTAATATAGTCAAGTTAGAACGACAATGTTTGCTCGATGTCGATTGCGATGTTTGCGAGGCCTGAGGTCATAATGTACTTATTTACACTGGACACGTCTAGTGCATACTTATTCTTTGATTTGTGTCACAGATTATACTATACATATTTTTGTCTGTATTTTGTCAAAGATAATGTAGGGGATGATGGTACGGTTGTACTTGTCACTCCCTTTCAAAAAAATGAGATAGAAATATTTATTTTTGTATGGTAGCGGCAGTGGAAGCCTGTACGATGAGCGATTATTTGCATTGTTTCTGAATGGACACTCGACATTGTGTCAAGGTCAATATAATTATTTGCAAGTAATAATGATGTAGATTTCTGTCTATAAAATATCTTTATATTCAAATGTTGTTTAGTGTTTATTTTGCGTTTTTTTGACCAATGGACATATATATGTACATGCCTAAATATTATTCGTTTTGTGTTAAACTTTAATCTATACTATTATAATAAAGCGTAAACACACACGTCTTTGTTGCCTAAGATGTCAGCAATTACAGCATATTTTTGAATGATTCTTTTTTTTTTAATAAAAAAAACCCTTACACTTACGTCACGCTTTACGGTACATATTTTAACGATATTAAACTTAGGGGGTAAATGTTTTAGATAAAAACCCTAATGTGGGAAAGAGACCATAAGTTACCGCCAACATGTCATTTTGACAATAGTAATTGATAATTTGACAAATGTAAAAAATAAAATAAAATTTTCATAATTTCATGCGATTGAAGTCGCACGGGAACAGCTAGTTTATAGTAATTGTAATATAACACGATAGTACTAAACATTTATTACAATTCAAACATTTAATTTAACTTACAAAATCAATTTGTCGGATTTAAAAGCATACAATTTTTATAATTTAAATTTTATTTATGGTTCCTACATTTTCGCTATGCAGAAGCATGCAAGAAGGCAAAGGTTTTCAACATTCTGCCACAATTAAATATCAGTAAAATTATTTATTTGTTACTTAATTTAAAAGGAGAAAATTCTTAAATAATTTATACCACGTTATTAATAATTTATTTTTAGTAAACTACAATTTAAATGGCGGGTGAATTTAAAATAAAGATGGCGCCGCAGGCCACAGCTGTATTATGCGCACGTGACTACAACAGAAAGTTGGCGTTGCGACGCGTGCGTTTTTACTGTTTGCTTGACCGGTTGTTCCTTTCCTGTATTCAGTAGAGCATTACCGTGCATTTCCACTGCTGAAACACCATACATAAACAACAAAGACGTGATTATCTGTATTTTACATAGTAGATAAGAGTAAGAATGAATGATTTTCTTTTGACACAGGATTTCTCGTAAATGGAATTAGATGCTAAGTAAATTCATCAAACGGTACACTATCGGACTAATAGTTAAATGTTGTGGTCCTAAGCGTATTTTTCGACAATTATATCGATGTATTGATTTTTGATGTACGATAAAGCCGTTATATCGATTCTTGATTTTCTGTATTCAACAATATTTACTTTTTGAGGTTATAAATTGCGTCAGAAATTCAATATCCTGACTTTTAAAGTTAATTTGATATTAACATGCTCATTAAAGACGATTAAAGACAAGTAAATAATATTAATTTTGCCTCATTATTTCATTTTCCTCAGAAATGCGTCATAAACGCGAAAGTTTATGGCTTGAAAAACATTAACAAAAAAGTAACGGCTAATTGTTTTAAAAATATTTGTATTATTATACGTTTAGTTGGCTATGAGTAAGACAACAGTTTAATTAAATTTTTTTCAAAGAAATATCGAGAAAAGGCAACGAATTGAACTTTAATGCAAGTGGTCTTAAATTAGAAAAGTTACGTTATAAATATAAAGTAGCCATAGATTTTTTATCTTACTAATAGTATAAAAGCAAAAGTTAATATGGACAATGGCCGCCTAAACAGCTGAACGGTTCTCAATGTTTGTCATAGAGTGGTCTTGAAGAACAGATAGACTATTTACTTTTTTTTTAAATTCTATGCGGCCTGAGTCCCAGAACATTTAGACATTTGGATTCAAGTAAAACAATAAGTACCTAGAAATTTAAAGACAAAAAAATTAAAAAATAGCAAGACATCTAACTCAAGTCATATGCAGTTTTTTAACCATTAAATAGTTGGTTAGTGTAACTTCGTCACAATAAAAAATTAAGGTCATATTATATATAATTAAGGTCATACAACGACTAAGCAATAAACTCTATTTTTATTTAAATTTGAAAAAACCACGTAGAGTTATCGTGAAATTACGAAACAACACTCTCTCTACACGTAACTGAGATTACATCCCGCGCGTTCACAGACAAGTTTCATTGATTCTAACTAAAGATATTGCAGTAATTACATAACTAAGAACATTACATATTTATATGAGTAACAAATAAGAGTTTTTTAATATTTCTATTCAACCAGTGGCTAAAGTATGATTGATTTCGTGTCATAACTCCGCAAAAATGTAGTAATAAAATAATAGTTTATAATTATAACTATAGGCAATATGTTTTTAAAATTAGATATTTTTGACCGATGTACCAAAAGAAGGAAGTACTCAATTCGTCTGTATGTTTTTTTTTTATGTGTGTTACGGCATAACTCCGCCGCTAGTGGACCGATTTCGATAATTCTTTTTTTATCCGAAAGGTAATGCTTGCAGGTGGGTCCCATTTTTTTTGTTTAATTTTTAATTAATACAATTAGGGTTTTTCTGTACATACAGTCAAGAATTATGTTAAATCTCGACAATAAGCTACATAATTTTATGTACAAGAAATATCATATGTTATAGGTATGTTTATTTAATTTAAACATCTTTATTCTTGATAAAATTATAAATCCGAACATTCAATTAGATGGATGGATGTTTGTTAGAAAATCTCCAGAACGGATTTAACGGATCTTCATAATATTTGACACCGATGTAAAGCACAGTCTATAATACAGAGGGTATTATTATTATATTTTTTTATTCCACGCAGACGGCATCGCGGGAAAACGCTAACTAGGTATAAATAAAACATGCTCACATTCTTAACATATTTTGTATCGATGTGGAGACTGGTACGTTTCCCGTAACAATATCCGGTTTTGACATAACCGTGCACGCTATAAAGAACCTAAAAAACATCATCTTTACAGGCGTAGTCGGTGCCCATTCATATACTAGCCTTACTTTCTCCTTACAACCTTGATTTCTTACGCCTGCCTTGGGTACGTTAACACCGAACACGCTAAACCGATGGCATTTTCATCATCTGTCACAACTTTTACTTTTTTGACACTAAATGACTTTCAAAAAAACTTTTCCCTCCCTTTTGTCATAGATTAGTTAACAAGTGAGGTGTTTCTAATAACTTTAAAAAATGTCGTTAAAAATACTGTTTTATTTTAGAATTTAAATAAAAAAAAAGCTCACCTTTTTAAAATATAGTTATCTCAAAGATCCAAAAATTAAATGTCACAAGTCACAGCACGTTTGTAAAATTAAAAAAGTCACTGCCACTCTATGTTGCAATTTCGCGCCTAAACACAAAACACTTTCTCTTTAATAAAGTACTCGTATGATATTTAAGAGATAAAGAATTCGAATTAGTATTCGGTTCGCCACGTTAGTAATGGTCAGTGGCTACGCCGGTTGTGGCAGGAAGGCGCGTCGATTTCTTGTTTACTCGACTAAACGACTTTTAGGTTAACCAACGGAGTGAAAACGGTATTCTTCACGTTGCATTTCCGCATACTTGGTGTACATTTTAAATTAGTGGCATAAGTGTTAACCAACGGTCTTGGAATTGCACGTCTTTCGCAACATCATCGAGAAGCAAACATTTGACATGTGTTTACTTTGGTTTACGACATATAGTAAAACCTACTTACATACTAAACATAGAAACCTAGGCGCCCTATATCAGTTGTGTACGCAATATGGGTGTCGCCACCCTAGGATCTAGTCTAGGTCTAGCTGTCACTGATTTGGCCTTTTCTTAAAGTATTTCTTATGTTCAATTTAGATTTTTGATTAAAAGGGGCAGCTATCCCCCTACTTAAGCCCATGGAATGCAACTAATACTATTTAGCGCCATCTGTCACATTTTTAAGGTCCTAACCAATGAACTTTAACAAACAACCCAAAAGGTTTATATAAATAAATCAGTTTGATAGAAATGGTTGAGCAAATATTTTTTATTAATAAAGGAATAGGTAATAAAAGGCAAAATAAAATGTAAAACATCATTTATGTTTAAATGAAGACTTAACAATTTCATGTTATATTATTTAGTTAATATCTCACTTAGCGCTTTCTTCTTCTTTTGTCCTTTGTCAAATTTGTTTTTCTGTAAAGAGATGTTTAAAATTAACTAGATTGGTAATTATTTTCTCCCACCAATATAAAAACTCCCGCCATGTTGCGGAAAAATATAGAACTAATTACTCTATGGATATTTCTATTTTGTTTTTTAGGTTAAGATTTAGAACAGCGCCATCTATTAACGAGCTTTGAAGTTAAAATGAGAAGTTACTAAAAATAAGATATTTTACCTTTTTCTTTTCCGCTGTCATTCCAACAAATTCTTTGCGCTGTTTTTTCCCTGGCTGATTGATTCTCTGCGTCTTGTTTGGAGGACCCTCGCCGATATCCTGATTTATATCAAACATTAAGCATTATAAACAGTAGTAAATCATACTTTTTAACATTTAACGGAAGAGGAGACTCATTGGAAGGGGAAATATCCTTCTATGTGTCGCCTCCATCGATTGAATTAAGGCAACATTGCTTTCGTCAGCTGCTCGTTTGCTTGACATAAAACTACTCGAAAAACTACTAAAATCATTTCTAGATTTCGAAGTGTTTTCTTAATTATTTATCTACCAAAGAGCCGAACAAATAACTAATACAAATATAACAGTAGGTTTTTAATAACTAAAAACACGTACAAAAAGAACAGATGTCTTTGTAATGACAGGGGAACACGTGTTGTCGAAATTTTAACCATAAATAATAAAAATATTACCTGATTAGGTCTCTTCTGCATTAACCTTCTCATTGCACCATCGGCTTTACTGTCATTATACGTAGGCCTTCCCACTTGTCTGTCATCTCTGTTCCCAAACTGTTCTCTACCCTGCACACTTCCCCTGCCGAAACCACCTCGCGTATTCCCCCTGCCGAAACCACCTCTAGCACTACCCCTGCTAAAACCTCGTGAATTTCCTCTGCCAAAACCGCCTTGATCATTTCCCCTGCCAAAACCACCTTGCGTATTACCCCTGTCGAAACCACCTCGTGTATTTCCCCTGCTAAATCCACCTCGTGTGTTGCCCCTGCCACGACCTCCACGAAAACTTCCCTGGTGATATTCTTGGTGTGTTTTTTGTTTACTATTTGTTTGTGTACATCTCTTTACTCGGAGTATTCTGTTTTTAATTGTTAGTTCTTCTTCGGATAACGCTAGCGCAAGTTCTACAGCGTCTTTAGATTTGAAGTTTACATAACCGAAACCTGAAAATGATATCAAAACTTAAAAATAATTATATGAAAAGTAGATTTCTATATAATATTACAAAGAGGAAAGATTTGTATTTTTCTACATACTGGAATAACTGAAAAACTGACACACTACATTACCAGTGAATAACATAAGCCCTGGTTTTACTAATTTTTTTTAATTTAACATGGACGAAGTCGCGAGCAACATCTGGTATTAATAAAATTTAAATAATAAACTCAATCTATACTTAATGTTTTTATATGAGACAAAAAGGTAAGGGAAAATAATCTACAAATATAATGAAAAAACCAAGTTTATAACAACTTGTAGCAAGTTTCATTCATTTCAAAATATTTTATCAATGTTATTAACTACATTCAAATATTAGTTATTACTTGAGTTATGGGTGTTTTTTAATCAAGGCTATTTAGAGATTTGGTCATTGAAAATTTTAAACTAATACTTTTCCATACCTTTCCCCGCACTTGTCTTTTTGTCTCTTATTATTCTGACAGATTCAATATCACCACATTGCTGGAACTTCTGCTGTAAGGCCTCATCTTCTAAAGCAAACGGCAGGTTGCCAATGAAGATAGAGAATTTTGGGTCATGTTCTGATCCTGTAGAGTCACTGCGAGTTACTCTTAAATGATGGTCATTCAGTACTGTACCATTCTCTGCTAAAGCCTAAAATTATGAAACAAAAAATTTAAATTAGTAACTACACAAATATTTTGAAACATCAAGTTCACAGCACAGAGTGCCACAGAAGCTAACCTAAGTAATTATTAAGCAAAGATTTAAATTGCTTTCATTATACTTTGTTTTCATAAGAGAAGGGGCAAACAAGCGGCAATAACACAAAGTATAGTTTTACATTTTTTACGAGACTAACGGCAGTACACTGAAACGAAATTTTAAACACTGTTTCAAGCAACATTTAATCTAACAGATGTCAAAATGATAATAACATGTGTAGTATAAAGTTTTATCAATACCTCATTCACAGAAGATGCATCTCTGTATTTCACATACACATTGACAGTAGAACGATCAGGATGAAGTTCATTCTTAATTACGGCCAGCTTAGGAGTTGCTCGGCCATCTTTCACTGGTATGGTGCGGATTCTAGAGAAAAAAACGATAAAAACAATGCCATGAGATTAAAAAGAATAATTGAAGAATTTTAACTAAATATATATAATAAATTTGTTTGTAAAAATTGTAATATTTATTTATTGCAATTGCAATTAAATTATACAAACATCTGTATAAAGTAACAACAATAAGTACCCCTTCGGGCGTGTAATATAATGAGTACAAATGCAGCGAAACAATAACTAATAACTAGAATAATAGCTAATAACTAGCTTTCGCCCACCCCAGTCCACATGGAATTAAAAAAAAAACAAAAGTAACTATCGTATGTGTTCTTCCAAACTATCCTTTACATCTATACCAAATTTTATAGGGATCCATTTAGCATTTTAGGTGACAACTCTAATAACATCCATCCATCTAAACTTTCGCATTTATAATATTATTAAATAAGATATCTCTTCCTGCATACCTAACGGTTTCAATCAGTCCATATTTACTAAAGATCTTTTTAATTTCCTTCTTGCATTTCGGACTGAAAGGCACATTTCCTACGAAAAGTGTTCTTTTAACTTCTTCCTCTGTGTTTACAACTTCTTTCTTTTCTACTTTTTCTTTCTTCTCTGGTTCTTCGTCTTCTGAGCTTTCTTCTGTCGGACCAGTGTTGAGTACTTCTTTATTCTGTTCATCTTCTGAATCTATTTCGTCATCAGACTCATGTTCTGAATCACTGTCTTTATTTGTTACAGCGTTTGGATTAACTTTTGTTTTATTCTTTTTCTTTGAAGACTTTGTATTTGATTCTGTTTGTGTAATTTCTGTAATGGAAATTTCAGTTTCTGTTTTGTTGTTTGATTTCTTTATTTGTTTTTTGTTTTTCTTTTTGTCTCTTTTTGGAGTTTTTACTTTTTGCTCAATGTTTTCTTTTGTTGAATTTTCCTCTGTATCTGATATATCTTTTTTATCATTGTTATCAGTCTGGCTTATATCATTCTCTTTGTCCACATTTGTTTTAATGAGAGTCTTTTTGCCTTTCTTACTTTTTTTAGGCGAGACTGATTTATTCATTGCAATGTTATTGTCATTTGAAGTAGTTATATTATCAATTGAGTCTGATATAAGGCTTTGTTTCTTTTTCTTCTTTTTCGGAGTACTTTCGTTCTGCAGTTGCGGACTGCCAGAGATATCCATATTTTCATCTTCTTGTACGTCTTTAATATTTGGGCTTTTGTTTTTAAGCGATTTTGGACTTACGTCTGCGTCTAAGTCCTCTTTAAGATGTTTTTTAACTTTTTCGGCTTTCGGACTTTTAGATTTCGAACCCTCATCATCGTTAGTAACATCTAGGTCAGGGTTTTCAAATATTCTTTTAGGTGACTTTTTTACAACTGCCTTCTTCTTTTGTAATGTGGGTGAAAGGAAAATTGACCGGTCATCCACCAGCTCACTCTTAGGGGTAACATTTGGAGAGGGTTGATGTTTCGTCGGCGTTAATGCACGTTTTAGAAATTTCGGCCGGTTAGGAGTAACGTTACCATTTACTAAAGCCGCGACACTACCTATAACGTAATCCATGATATTTTATTTATAGGATTAACTAGAATAAAACAGTTTAGTCTTAACGCACATGGTATTTTAAGAAAATTGACAGTGTCAAAGAAATCGTAATGTTTTGACAAATGTCAATGGCACATTTTATTTCGTTTAAAAACCTGTCAATAAAGAATTAAGTAAATCAATCTGTAATTAAATTCAGTTTTTATCCAGTTTTTTTTTTATCAGTATCCAGTTTTCTAAATTAAACTCATTGTTACAATGTAATGTTGAAAATTCTCATCAAAGAAATTGGGGATGCCTTTAGAATTCAATTTTCCACGAAAATTGTAAAAAATGTTGTCCTGCTATTCCACATCGAGTGTTTTTTTCTTAATTTTATTGTTCAAACATCAAAATCATGATTTTTGAGTACTGATTTTCTGATTTTTTTTTAATATTGACCTTAAAATCGTCCAAATTAAGTGACATTTGGCAACATTATTTTTCTCGCGCTACTCGCGCCGCACCTCGTTAAGCGTTCGAATTGTTTTGCGCTTTTTGTCTTTGCCTTTTTCTTTGCTATGAACTTTTGACGACGCTGTCGCGATAATTATTTTTCAGCATAGTTTATCATTAATACTGTTGTTAGTTGTAAGTGTTAATGAAAATAGTGAGTGTGCTCTTTAATTATTTGTTTAAGTGCTGAAGGACAAGGAAAAGTGAGTAAATCTTTTTTAATACTTCTATTCTTATTAAATGGTCGGCGCGCCATGTTATACCGCCCGCCATTATTTGGTTTGTGTATTGTTTTTGATAAGTATTTTAAAGCTGTTGTCTCAAAAATTCGCAGTTTATGAGTATTCCAGTATTATTGTTACATACAACAGAACTAGATTATTACGTAAAATAACACAGATATAGGTTAATACCAATTCGTAGGTTAAAAGGAATTTGCGCGGTACTTCTCATATTTCAATAGTCTTGTATCATTTCACATTCTTATTATGAAAAAAACGATTTATTATTCAGCAATATTTTCGTTTATTTAAAGTTTATAAAGTCAAATTGCATTCTTTTCTATTTCTTTGCCGGTAATAATCGAATTGGAATATGTTTACAAAAAATCGGGAAGTGAACGAATCGCGCAAGTTTTATGGTTCTGACCTTGTCCCCGAAATAATTTACGTGAGATTCTTGTTTCTTTAAAAGTCATAGGTAAGTATTGATAAATAATATTCGTTTTTTATAGTGTAATAACAATGTATATTTCAAACCTCTTTTTGTTATTGTGTGAACTTTCTTATTAATAACAAAAACGTGTTTTTTACTAAACATTAAGTCTATTAGTACAAAAATTTATCTAATAGTCAATCAATTTACATCACAACTATGAATGTGCAGTTAAATGATTTAGTAATAGGTTAAGATTACTTTCTTTATACTTGATTGCAACTAACCATAGATATTTGTAGATATCATGTACATACAAAGGTTTTATCCTAACAGCTATTAAGAATATAGTTAGGATAATATGACCTTTGATATTTGGATAAATCACAGCCATATTAAGTTATGAACTAACATAACTATGTTTGAATTTATTTTGATTTAAGATTTTGTTGAAATTATAACTTACAAAATCAAACTTAAAAAACAAAATCTTAACTTCAATATGTGCCTAGCCGATTTTACACTAACATTTATATTAACAAGTAAATTATATTAATATACTAGGACTGTTATATTGAGGTGCAGCTAGATAAATAAAGCAATAACAATCGGAAGTTCGGGCCCTTGGCTTCATAATCAGTGATGTGTAAAGCCTCATGCTTCACTACCTTGTAATGTAACACCTTAAATGGCTTTATGTACAGTCAGTTACTTGAATATTATACAATTATACAAAGTTATGTAAGGTTGATTTTAAAACTACCAATTGGCATACTGGCCAGGACATATACTTGTATATTTTTGAACCTGAAGACAAGACAAGTTTCTAAAAGTTTGTACATATAAACACATTTTTTTTTTCTTATTTTTTAGGGGGCTTTGTCGCGAAATAAACACATTTATGGAGCTGTCTGAATACCTTTATATTCTAATAGTATGGTCATTTGTTAAAATCTTTGCCTATGTTTTATTTTTTGTTATGCATGTAAAAGTTAAGCACTTAAGTTAACCTCAAGAATAACTTAGCATAAAGACCTCAGTAAGATGCACATAAGTCTTATACTTGAAGGTATAATTCTACATTTTGTACTGTAAATATTTTCTAAGTTGGAGTGTGAAACTTCATAACTTACACAGTAGGCTATTTGCATAAATATGATTTAGCTCTGGTCATACTTAACATAAATTAGCAAATATTAACAAATAAGTTAGTACTTAGTTATTCAAACATGCTCTAAGACCTAGATTTCTCCCTGTGTACATCTTAGGGTTGTAAGCATAAGCATAGAGTATTATCTTGTCCGTTACTAAGTTAAGACATTGTAATTTAATTTAAAAATATGCAGGTCAAGTTAAATCTTTGTGGTCTAAAGAAAGTAGTTTGTTCTAAACATCTAGGTTTAGTACATAAAGTAATAAAATATTAGGAATAGTGTTTGTATTGTATTTTAGTTGTAAATTATATTAGGTTATTTTTTAATATTGGAATCGCCAAAACCTATTCATGTGACCTCCAATTGTGTATCTATTCCTCTCGGAAAACATCTACAGAGCGGGCACACACTTTTGACTAAACTATCCCACAACTGTTGTGCCATTGTCGATTGTTTTGCAGCCAATTCAACTTCAACTTGTGCGATGTTTTAGTCAAAGTTGTGTATGCCCTCTTAACTTGCAAATCAGTTGTCAGTTGATATACGCGTGTCTCGGGAGTATGGTAATGTTGTTTGCAAAACTAAAATTACCATAAGAAACATTTACTTCTATTCATATTGTGAAAACTGGGAATATTTATGTGTTATGCGAATAGATGTTTTCGTATTTACTCAAAGTATTTAAATATACTGCCATACTCGGAAATGTTTAATGGTTACTCAGTCAGTTCCTTATTATAATTTTTTATATTTAATTAACGCCAAAAAACTATTATATTTATAGAGCGCATTTCGACTTTTCAGGTTTTGCTTACGCCTTACACGAGTACTTGCTCAGTGTAATCTATAGATTCTAATGTATAATATCGAGTATCTACACAATCTTCACTGCCTCTCTTACTGCCTGAGGTCAGCTAGGGTTTTTGTCCTTCACATAACTCTATCATCTTTCCTCTGTCACCACTCCCTTTCACGCAATATATACACTAGGTCTACTTCTATCGGTGTACTTACATAACCAATAAGACGCATTTCATTTCTATTAACACCTAAAATAAGTCGTAAGTATGGTCTATAGATTACAGCCTTGTACTCTGAGTTAGTACTCCAAGGAAATTAGCTAATGAGGTAAATCGCATGGTACTTGTCTCATATTTCTTACTGGCTAAAAGACCGTGCATAACAATACGCATGCCCGACAATCGTCTACCACGTGTTTTATGTGCTGACCGCTTCCTGTGAATCGAAACAAGCAGCGCATTATAATTATGTTGTTAGGCGGTTTTGCAACTTCATAACTTTAAACGATAGTTAAATTGCATATTTGTATAATACATTTTTTGTTAGTAGGTCGCTAATAAGTACAATACTACTTTATTTAAGCAATTTATTTATATCTAGTTTTCGCCCGTGACACCGTCCGCGTGTACTTAAAAACAAAAACAAAAGCAAGTAGCCTATGTGCTCTTCCAGACTATTCTCTACATCTATACTCAATTTCATCGACAACTAAACTTTACAAATGTATAACTGGACTAGCTGATTGATGCCCGTGACTTTGTCCACGCAATATTAAGGTAAAGAAAGTAGCCTATAATATGCCCGTTTTTGACAGCTACCCTATAGTGAAAGTCCGGTCAAAATCGGTCCACCCGTTTCGGAGATTACCCGGAACAAATGCTGCTTGGGGACAGACAGACAGACAAATTTTAAATGTGATTTTCGTTATCAGCAACGCAAATACACTGAATGATGAAAGGATTTTTAACGAAATCATTTAGTACCAATTGGACTGAAACCTACGTTAAATTACGTAATACAGTGCACTTTTGATACAATGTATTTTAAACAGGCTGACGCAATACAACAAAGGTTTCAGTGGTCAGCGAACGCGGGGTGCGTGGGTTTTGAAACACATCAAATCTAGATTTATTTAGATTCTTGAATTAACGCACTATTTTAGAGAGTAAACAAAATGTGTACTTGGACCTTGTACTATGACGAATTTCCAACACGTACAGAGATTTTTAAGTAAACGAAGTAAAGAATAGAAAGTTGTTTTATTAAGAGAAAATGAATAACTCAGTTTTATAGGTCATGACCGTGAAAAGCGATAACGTAGTTTATAATTTAGCGTTTTCTTGACTTAATTTAAAAATAAACATGCATCCTTATCTGTTTACATTATCGCTCGTGCACGTTTTTGTTTTGATTCGCGGAATCTAGTTTCTTTTTTTACAACTACGTAATTATAGCAAAGCCTTACGATGTCGTTAGACTGAATTTGATAGATGGCATTTCCAAAATTGTCTCATAGACCTGTATAAATTGGAGCACTGCAGCCAAAATGCTTATAATATATGTTTACCGGCCTTCGCCCGCGACTCCGTCTGCATGGAATTAAAAAAAAAGTGTTTTTCAGGCTATCCTCTACGTCTGTGCCATATTTCATCGATATCTGTTTAGCCGTTTAGGCTACAAAATCTACCAAACTTCCATCCATTCATCCATCTAAACTTTCGCATTTGTAATATTAGTAAGATACATATTTACAATATTAACTTAATCATACTCTTATTACTACATCCTGTTATTCCTCGATTTTAATTGCGGCTTTTCTTTTTTTTTAAAGGCACAGATATTGTGGCCAGTACGCCACCTCTTTGACAGAATAGAGACTTATCTACCTGAAATCTGAATATTATTCTGCACTGATTTACTGCTTTCGGTAAAACGCCTGTTATTTCCTCAATTTGTGAATTTTAATATTTTCCGGGCCTTTATATTTATTTTCCGTGTATCCTCGATGTGTTTCTGTAAATGGAACACTGCGTATTTTCTTAACTGTACAATGTGTTAAGTAATAAAGATGCAATAGCTGTACCGTTAGGTTCTTTGTTGTGTTATGAATGAGATGCCGGGTGTTGGAATTGCAAGTGTCGAGTGAGACCTATCACATCCTTATAAATCATTAGACTGTGCAAATCCAACAGTGGTTAAGGTAAGAATATAATACTGCTTGTTTAAATATTTTTATATCTAGTTAACTGAGTGATTTAGTAACTAAATATAATTTAGTCAAGTAGATTAGGGAATAATTTGTTCCGTTTTGATCTATTTTTGACCGACTTCCCAAAAGAAGGAGGTACTCAATTCGTCTGTATGTTTTTTTTATTCGACCAAAACTCTGTTGAAACCTCTCGCGTTTATTAGTAAACGTTGACGTTAATTTTGCTTAACGCCAGTCATATTCTGAATTGCGACAGAAGTACGTCCTTTGGACAGTACAGAGTTTTTTAGCTGCTAAATTACTCGATACTCGATTGAATTACTAGCCTAATACTTAATAGGTATTTCTTTAATAATGAATCTAAATAAGCGATCTAAAACCACATGTTCTTAGCTTTATACAAAAGAACCTTTTTGAAGTTTTAAGGCAGTACAACGAATAGTAATTTTATCCCTCGCTCACAAAAACTAACCGGTTCATAGACAAATCAACGCTCGCCACATCGGCCTTCAACTTGATATTTAGTCTTATGTAAGTTAATTCTAACAAAAAACAAATTCTTAATACATTGTATAATGTCCTTAAGTATGTAAATGTTAGGTAAAACGTCTTGAGTGGTATGGGAATAATAAAATCCATTAGCTACCTCTTGGTTTTGTAAACGTGAAAGGCTCAAAAACATCAATGTTATCTACATATAATAAAATTGGAGTGTCTGTAATATCAAAACAAAAATTCAGGATTTCGGGAAGACGATGTATTTGCGTTGCTGATAATGAAAATCGGGTTTAAACGGTTTTTGGTCTGTTTGTTTGTCTATCCGCAAGTTGCGTTTGTTCCGGGTAATCTCCGAAACGCCTGGGCTGATTTCGACCCGACTTTCACAAAAGGGTAGCTGACATAGACGGACATATTATAGGGTAGTTTTTATCTTAATATTGCGTAGACGAAGTCTCGGGCTCGGGTAGTAATTAATAATAGTCAAATCAAATAGTTGAAACTTTGTTTATTGTTATTAGTGACTAATGAGGTAATTAATCTCTAAAATAGTGTACAAGATTTCTAGGAGTCGAGTAAAAAGAATGCGGCACTGTTTTGACCCAGTTAAGGCAGGTGGTAGCGTTAGTTAAGTTCGACCCACATTGCTCTGCTTGTCTCCGATTGGTTTTTATGTGGGTGGCGTGACGTACGCCATTATAAGAGCTTTGACTAAGTTATCGCACAACGTTTAGTCTCGCTTTGATTCCTATGAGCTTATGGAGGTGCGAACACTACTCGATTTTTACTTGTGCAACTAAACAGTTGAATTGGCTGCAAAACAATCGACAATCGCACAACAGTTGTGCGATAGTTTAGTTTCAGATGTGCGCACGCTCTGTGTGTCATTTTTTGTATGTTAACCATAATTGTTAAATAAACATATCATACTAATATTATAAATGTGAAAGTTTGGATGGATGGATGGATGGATAAATAGATGGATGGATGGATGGATAGATAGATGGATGTTTGTTAGAGTTTGTAGCCTAAACGACTGAACGGATCTGGATGAAATTTGGCATAGATGTAGAGGATAGTCTGGAAGAACACATAGGCTACTTTCTTTTGTTTTTATTAATACCACGCGGACGGAGTCGCGGGCGAAAGCTAGTTAACTACAAATGAACGCAAGATTTGTTGTTTGGCCGTAGTGATAGACGAAGTGCAAGCGAGTGGTTTGTCCCATAGCGATGTTCACATAATGCTGTTAGTGATGTTCTCAATCGATTATTAGGTATCTACATGAAGGTGACAACACTTATGTGGCTTAATTTTATGTCTTGTATGACTCACCGATGGTTTGAGTTACGTAAAAATAGATAACAGTTATCTAATGCCAGTATCACCCGTGTTAAACGAGGACGGACTTTACTCATACAAATACTTGAATAATAACTAAGTATCCACTATTAGTCCATAAATAGAATAGAACTGGTAAATGTTAAAGGATGGTTATTATTATGACGTAGCTGTTGCCTGGGACTTAGTCAACGCAATATTAGATAAAAATGTAGCCTGTAATATGCCCGTCTATGTCAGCGACCTTCCAGTGAAAGTCCGGTTGAAACTATTCCAGCCGTTTCGTAGATTACCCGGAACAAACGCGGCTTGCGGACGGACAGACAAAAATTACTTAAATGCGCTTTTCGTTATCAGCAACGCAAGTACATCATCTTCTCAAAATCTGGAATTTTTCTTTCGATATTACAAGCACTCTAATTTTATTATATGTATAGATTACCTATAATACCCATCGTTTTCCTATACCAACAAACAACCTTGTAATTGTAATAAATGATTAAAGCATAATTGTTAGATATTTACTAGTTTTACCGTAACCTAAAATGTACTTCATTTTAAAAAAGACTATAAAAAACTTATTTTAAGTATAACAGATCCCCCTGTATGTTCATAAGAGCCATACGGTATGCTGGCGTTTGAATAACGCATGTGTGATTCATTTGCGGTGCAAAATATCACGGATAGCGGTAGAGGTAGTGGGTATTGGAGATTAAATAGCTAGTCGTAGCTAGTGATAGCTACGAATACTTAAAAATTACTAGAATTTGTATCGAATATATTTGAATTTGTAGAAGAAACTACCAAAGTGCTTTGTTCGTATACTTGTCTTCAGTTAATTGCAATTTAATGACCATAAAATGTAATAATATATTTGTTAACTATCTGGCAATTAATACAAATATGCGACATTTTATGCCTGCATATGTTAATAACGCGGTCACGCACTGCTCACAAAGTGCATAAAATGATTCAGTAATACCTAAAAAAAATGTCACATAGTCTTTTAATGTTTACGCAAATAGTCCTTTAGTCCTATACTAAGGGAATCGCTTAGTCACTAATTAACGACTTTAAGTGTGGCAATGTGTCGGAAAGCTTCATTTGTATTAAAAGTAATCTATCCTTAGAAATGGTATGAATTGAGCCACGCGCCTCTTTAGCTGCGAGTGGGCGAGGTCATTCACCTCTCCCCGACCATAGAGTAAGGCGATCTTTAGACACGCTCGTGACATATGTGAAATGATGGATTTGTTTACGTTCGTTATACACAGTTTATTATTGAGTTATAAATAAACTAGTTGCTGTCTTATACCAGTTACTCTGATTTTTGAATGAAATGAAAAAAATATCTATTTTATTTTTTAAACATACAATTAGTAAAGAGCTTTTTTTGCAAATGAACTGATTTTTATGACTAATTCGATTTTACCAGAACAAATATTAATACGTTTTAGTTACTTTTAAATATTTTTAAGGAATAAAACTATAAAACAATTATATTTGTGCCTTTTTTCTGGATTGTCTCTGATTTAAATTGAAGGGGAATGCAGACGCGGGCAATTTAATTCATGTCAGACTGTTTTATTAGTTTTGCACTTCACAACTGAAACTAAATTATTATTATTGCAAAGATCAATAAAATCATTGACCGATTTGTTTCTGTCAAAACAAATGCTAATATACTTTAGTATTAAACATTTTTAGATATGCACAACATTTAATAATCATAGTCGTTTGTCATGTCAACGCACTTCTAAATATATCTAGCTCTGTACCACTAACGCCAAGATACCTAGCGTATAATTGTCACTTGAGTTTTTTTCTTAACGTATGTACAATTTTAAAAACGCTGTGTTGTAACGTATATTGTGTTGTAACGGATCTTGTGTTAGGTGTAAATTTATTGTTAAGGAAATACTAAAAAAGAAATATTTTATCAATTTGTTATTGGCAAAGTGCCAAATGAAGAAATGTTAAAGAAATACAAGAGTTTTTAAAGAATGATTTTCGGGTTTTTAATGATTTGCCTACTTTAAAAGGATTTAACATTGAAACGAATATTTAGTTGGTATTTTGAATCAATACTATTATAATAAAGATGAAACATTCGATTGTTTGCATTGAATAGGCTCCGAAACTAATAACCGATTTAATTCTTTCACTGTTGGAAAGCTACTGTGTCCCAAGGTTAATAGACTTATGTGATTTTTTTTAAATTCTGCGCGAACGTAGACGCTAGCAAAAGCTAGTCAACAACTACAATAACCAAAAAATATTTAATTCGTATGTTACAGTCTAACCGTTGCTCGCGATTTTTTTATGGGAATGAATTTTTGAAATCTTCTTTACTTTCTAAGTTTCAATATATGCAAAAATACAAATGTTTCCCTCTTGATAATATTATTATAGATTTACATAACAATTTTAGAGGTTAAGTGCATTAACATTGTAATTAAAATATATTTACATGACTTTTGTTATCAGGTCATGAGTCAAATGGTGACGCGTCAGGGCCCCGTCGGGGAAGACATAGATAAGGTAAATTCTTATCTCATAGGGTCATTATGTCGAGTTTAAATTGTATTAAGCTACGATATCTAATCACTTACCGCATAACTATGTCATTGCAAATCATTAATAGTTGAAATTCTAGTTACCTGCATACTCGAAAGAAAGAGAAGCATATACACCACCTTGATCCCTTTTTTTACTTAAAAAAATTATTAAAGCCCTGGTTTTGTATGTTGTATTACATTATCTCGTTGCACCTTACAGCGGCAAACCGCAAGTCCAGTTAAAGAGATGAAGAAAAAAATGGCAGCGAATGCAGAAAAAGAAAAGATCGCAGCCGAGAAGCATGTCGATAAACCTAAAGACAAACACGATGAAAAAACAGATAAAAAAGATAAAAAGGAAACAGACAAACATGCAGATAAAGCTGAAAAGAAGGAAAAATCTCATGACAAAAAAGATAGAAGCCTGGATAAATCGTTGGATAAAAAAGATAAAAATGCTGACAAATCTATAGATAAAAAAGATAAATCTGAAAAGAAAGACAAGGCAACAGAAAAGAAAGATAAATCGGTTGAAAAGAAAGAGAAAAGTGTCAATACGCAAGTTGAGAAGTCAACGGAAAAGAAAGAGACAGCAATAGTTACAACAGTCGGGCCAACTGAGGAAAGCACCAGTGCGGAGAAGACAGTAAAGGTAAGTTTTAATATTCACACACACGTGACATCAATGCAAAATGTAATTTACAAAATAGCATATTTGCCTAACTTCCAATTAATTCCAGCAACCAACAAAAGACGAAGATAAACAATCTGACACAGTAAAACAAAACGGCGAAGCTAGCCGTCAGAATGGCAAAGCCAGTAATGGTACAGCCAGCGAATCTGACGACGGCGAAGAAGAACTCGTCATAGTTGAGCCTGACAATGACGAGATGTTCCCGGAACTGGCATATGACGACACTTCTGACACGGAGCCAACTGACGTTGATATACGCAGCGCCACGAGAAGATCGCAGGTATGACTGACTTGAATGACGCAGGTATAATATGATTTAGAACGCGCACACCTAAAACTAAACTATCGCAAACTGTTTACTCTCGCTTTAATTCCTAAAAGCTTATATAGAGCGCAAAGTACACGATTTTTTGTTGTTCCAAAAAATCGAATTGGCTCCAAAACAATCGACAATCGCACAACAGTTGTGCGATAGGTTAGTCAAAGGTGCGCCTGCTCTTAGCGTGACGTGACGTGACTGACTTCATTGAGATACAATCACCTGTATTTGTTTATATTGTAAGGGTTAAAAGTTCATTGTTGATTATTTAATGTCAAGTGCATTGTCATAATATTTCATATCATTGTATGTTGTTTTTGTTTATTTATAGAGGATCATATAAAGGTTTATACAAGTCCATTTGTTTCGTGTGCACTTATTTGGGAAATAAGGTTCATTTCTTATGGTGATTGGTACAATACACGTGTGGTATACCAAATTAACAACACAATCTCATGGTCGTACGGTTTTGTGATGTTCTATTAACCCCCTAACAATAATGTGTGAAGGTGAAGGTGACACGTACTCCGGAGACGCCACGACCCGCCTCAGTCAAGCAGGCAGACAAGGAAACAGACGATGTAAGTCACACAGACAACACGATAAAACTCATGACCCTTAAGGCTAGTTTGCAATAGCCTAGTAATTTAGTAGAGTACCAAGAAAGTAGCTAAAACACTCCATAGACCAAAATTAGTTCGCAGGTGTACACAAGTAGGTGGTGTCTTTTTTTAAATCAACATTTACTTACATACAATACCTATGGAGTAAATACTATGTCACATTTCGTTACACACAATTTTATACACATTGTTACTACAAATGTATAGAAATTATAGTACATTTCAATTTGACTCAATTGTTACTGCAGTAATAGTGGTATAAAAAAACATAAAGAGTATTCGTATTACGTAGGAAACACCTATCAAACATACAGCATGCCATATTTACTATTTTTCACGCTATATCAAAAAGTTCTGGTTTCTCCTGTGTTCTTTTTTTCATATCGGTTAATATATTTTATTATAATTTCGCATGCAGTCCTGGTATTTAACATAATTATATACTTTATGTCAATTATCTAAAAATATCTATACAATCACACAATGTCGCGGAAATACGCTATGTTCTATTTTCAAAATTGTCTAGTTCATTGCATTAAGACATACTGATCTTATAAATAACCAATTTGATAGCAGTGAGTTGCGCAAATAACAGGATAATAATAAAAATTTAATCGTGTACCGCTGAACGACCTTTTCCGTACAGACACATTCAAAAGCTGTTTCCTATTGCATGTCTCAATACGTATAAAACGTTCATACAGCTTGCTTTCATGTGCAACACCACCAGATTCCCCGACTGTACAACAAATTGTTTTTTATTTCAGTCCAAGGAAATGAAACTGCTTAAATTGAAAGAAGACATCATGATACCTGAGCGTCGTCTCCGTTCATCCAACTCCCCAAAACCTTCAGAGAAGAGAACTCTAGACAAGAACTCTCCGAAGGAGATGAAGAAAAGTGAATTAGAAACGAAGACGGAGGAAGTTCGCGCAGAAGAAAAACAGGAGAACGCACAGAAGGCAGAAGGAACGGTTACAGAAATGGTAGTCGAAGTTGAGAATATTGAGGGTGAGTATTATTATAAAACTAATCATTTTGTCTGTTTGTGGTCGAATTTCATTATTTTTTGAAACATTACATTAAAAAAAAACATTTGTTCATTAGCAAAACCAAATTCAGTACATGAATTTTGTTTGAATTATAACAGGATGAGGGTATATGTACAAAATTGTACTCTCAATACAGAGTGGTGGGGGTAATTCAGCTCAGTCTTGCATCAGCCGCCGTGTAGTGCGGACGTGTCGCATTACAATAGAGCATAGCTGTATGTACAGAGACTGGGTGAGGGTATGTGTAGTGTGACGCGCGTGTT